AGGAAGAAAATTTTATTTATTACAAAAATCGAGTCAATAATGAAAATAAAACGGTAATTAACATTCCAAATCAATTACCCAAACCAAATGTATTTTCTCCAAACTTTATAAATACACAGAGACATACATTACCCATTTTCAGACCAAGCTTTCAATATAATCGACCCATGTTTTTCCGCGCAAATCCAAACCCTTTCAGACCTAATTTCAATCAATTTTCAAATTTACAAATAAATAACAACTTCAGAAATTTTCCAAGACCGCAAATGTACAATTCCAATAATTTCGGGTCTCGCACTCCAATGAACAACAATATTTTCAACCGCAACTCGAATCAAAACAACAATCATCACAATCTTTATCAGAGTAATAAACGCCCACGCGAAAACCCAACCTTGTCTAGGTTACCTCCACCTGAACCCATGGATACTTCGCCGATGAATACGTTTATTAATAACTATAATCGTCAGCAAATTCCAAACTTTTCAACGCAGGCTATAGAACTCGATCATTCAACTAATCAAGATGAACAGATTGAACCGTTAACTCCGTTAACCAATTTGATGACTATCAATATTACTGTTCACAAAATTAACAAAACTACTCAGAAAACCCAAATACCCACTATGAATACCATCTCAATGAGGATTTCTATGAAAACCAACCAATTTCAGACTCACATGATTTTAATCAATCAAATGTCGATAATTGCGAAAATTTTCAGAAACCCCAGATTTCACCCCAGAAAACGTAATATTAATCAATAATCTTTCAATGAACAAATTACCTGTCCTACACATTCCAGAAATTAATGCAAACTTTCTGATTGACACAGGTAGCGGCAGAAGTTTTCTAAAACCTGATTTAGCTTTCCAAATTTCCCCAAACACTATCGGTTCAGAATTATTCTTTGTCAAAACGGCACATGCCACTTCAATGCATAATAAAATAACGCATTTACCTATCTTTGAATCTTTTCATTTCCCCGGACATCACAAATTCTATCTTTTTGATTTTTCACCAAGATTCGATGGTCTTTTAGGAATCGACTTTCTAACTAGTATTGGTGCTAGTATCAATT